AATTACCATTACTACCCATTTACCATTACCATTTACCATCTTACCATTACCATTAACATACATACCATTACCATTACCATTACCATTACCATTACCATTACCATTACCATTACCATTACCATTACCATTACCATTACCATTACCATTACCATAACCATTAACATTACCATTACCATTACCATTACCATTACCATTACCATTACCATTACCATTACCATTACCATCACCATCACCATCACCATCACCATCACCATCACCATCACCATCACCATCACCATCACCATCACCATCACCATCACCATCACCATCACCATCACCATCACCATCACCATCACCATCACCGTCACCATCACCATCACCATCGCCGTCATCATCACCATCATCGTGACCGTCACCGTCACCTTCGCCGTCACCGTCACCATCGCCATCACCATCACCATCATCGGATTATCGTCGCCGCCGTCGTCGTCGTCGCCGCCGTCGTCGTCGTCGTCCTGATCGTTTTTTCGTCGCCGTCGTCGTCGTCGTCGTCGTCGGCGGCGGCGGCGGCGGCGTCGTAGCGGTCGGCCGAGGATACTTTGTATTGGCGCGTGCGTGTTTTTTTCGCCCGCGGGTGTGCTCTCGTGGCCGTGGCTGGCGCCGCCTCGAGCTTGGGGTCCGAGCGCGCCCCGGAGCAGGTTCGGGAGGCGCCGACGTCTGTGGCGTCGTCGCAGCCGGGCTGAGGAGCAGGACGCGGGGAGGGAGGACGAGGGGCAGCAGTGGGTGATGGTGATGATGATGATGATGATGATGATGATGATGATGATGATGAAGAAGAAGAAGAAGAAGAAGAAGAAGAATAAGAAGAAGAAGAAGATGATGATGATGCTGCTGATAGGATGAGGATGCTGATGCTGATCGGATGATGATGACTGTGATGATGGTGGTGATGATGCTGATGCTGATGCAAATGATGATGATGCTGCTGATGGCGATGTCGATGCTGATCCTGATGATAGTGCTGGTGATGGTCATGATGCTGATAGTGATAATGCCGACGACGATGCTGATGCTGATGATGCTGCTGATGAGGGTGATAGTGATGATGATGATGATGATGATGATAATGATGATGTTGGGGAAGGCTGTGCTGATGATGAATATTATGGCGATGATGCTGATGATGCTGATGATGATGATGATGAAGATGGTGATCATTATGATGGGGTTGATGATGCTGCTAATGATGATACTGATGATGTTGTTGACGATGATAGTGATGTCGATGCTGATGATGATGCCGTTGTTGATGACGACGATGATGATGACGATGCTGATGCTCATGCTGATGCTGTTGCTGCTGCTGTTGATGATGATAATTGTGATGATAATTGTGATGATGATGATGATGATGATGATGATGATGATGATGAGGATGAGGATGAGGATGAGGCTGAGGAGGATGAGGATGAGGATGAGGATGAGGATGAGGATGAGGATGAGGATGAGGATGAGGATGATGATGAGGATGAGGATGATGATGATGATGA